ACACTGAGCTACATCCTTAGCCCAAATTTTTTTCTAAATTTTGAGATAAAGCCTCAGTAAGTCACTAACGTTGCCCCGGCAGGATTTGAACTTGTGATTCTCCTGTCCTTGTCTCCAGAAGTGTGTCACTATGCACAGCTAGAATAAAATTTTTTTCAACCAAATTAAGTTATTAAGCTCTCCAAATTCTCCACAGGGAAACACGAATAAATAATAGGCATTACTGTCTGTGTGCAAAGTGCCAGAACTCGTGTATTGCCAACATATCTCCTGGTTTATAACCCCGTAACACACAACCCATAGAGCAGGCCTTCAAAACTATGCCTAAGGATCGGCTTTAGGGGTCAATGCTTTCCCCTCTCCCCCGTGAAAACTGTTTTAAGACTATGTATTTTGAGGGGAAAAGTCCATAGCTTTCAGATACTCCGTTGAATTCATCCCAGATGCCTTCATGAAAATGAAACAAACCAAAGCCTTATTTAGACCAGGGTTATTGTTTATATCTAGAAGCAAAAACCCTTCATGTTTATCTAGAGGTCACTCAAGGAAGTGATGTCTAACACATTTCAATGCTGCAGATCGAGATGCTTATAGTTCCTGAGCATAATTAAAGATTATTAAACCACGTCAATTATTGTCTTGGCTCTGGGGATGGAACCCAGGACCTGATGCATGCTGGACAGGTATCGTACCACTGAGCTGCACCCCAGCCCCTATGTTTTTAAGGCACTGTTTTTCTGTTTGGAAAGAAACCAAGATAGACTTCTTGTTTTTACCTGTCTCATGGAAGTAATCTTTGGTTCAGTTTTTGAATCTATTTTCTCACACACATCTGACAAAAGAAGACTTTAACAAATGCAAAGATATCCCTTGCTCCTCGTTAGAATATCTAATCACCAAAATGTCTGCTCTGCCTGACTTTACTTACAGATTTAATGTGATCCCAATAAAAATAACAGCACCTTAATTTTTTTCCTGGAGAAGATTGATACTAACGTGGAGGCAGAGAAATAAACATACAAGAACAGCTAGAAAACCTGGCGAAAAACATCAGTCGGGAGGGGAGAAAGACTAGTCCTGGCAGATAATGAAAACATACAACAAAGTGTGTGTACCTAACACAAGTGCTACTAGGGGGGCATGGTGGCGCACACCTGAAATTCTGGCACTCAGGAGGCTGAGGCAGGAGGATTGGATTGAGGTTGAGACTACTGGAGCTACATGGTAAATTCAAGGCCAGCCTGAACTATGTAGGGAGACTGCCTCAAAAAAACAAAGTAAGCAAAAACACTCTGACACTGTCACATACAACCAATGGAATTAGAACATAGAGCCAATGAATTAGAACAACCAATGGAATAAAATGGAAAAACAATAAAAGTGATCTCTCCAATCGCTGGAGCAGGTATATACATAAACACATAAACAAACAAGACAAAACATTTATGTGTTCTCAATTACCTGAATAGTCTTTTAGAAAAAAAAAAAAAAAAAATGAAGTCCTTTCTTTACAGCACACCCAATAAACTTTACTTTGTTTTTTTGGAGACACGGTCTCACTATACAGTCCAGGCTGGCCTGAGTTCACTATGTGCCCAGGCTGGCCTTGTGATCCTCCTACCTCAGCCTCCCACGTTCTGGGCCTACACATTGTGCCAGCACGCCTGGCCCAATAAACTTTAAATGGACAAAAAAGTTTAAATGTAAAAAGTGAAATGATACTGATAATAGAATAAAACATGGGTTCATTTTTCTATAATATGTGTGAAGGGAAAGGGTTTCTATGATTCAAAATTCAGATGCACCCAAGAAAAGATGAACACACTATGTGCAATTTTAAAATTGTGCATAAAAACTCCTTAAGCAAAGTTAATGTACAAATGACAAAGTGGGACAGTGTATTTATAACATATTAAAACTACTTCTAATACATAAAGTGTGAGAAACAAGGTCTTTCCTGTCAAAAATATGAACATGAGTGCTTCCATTTTAAACTCTAGTCCACCCTAGGCTGCCTTCCTCCACCTCTTACACCAGAGTTCCTGGCAGTGTCTGCTCAGCTCAGAGTT